AAATCCCCCTCTAACGGTTTCTAGGAAAAAGTTTCGTCGTTCACGCTCTTGTCAAACAGACTGTATATATACACTGTATATATATACACGCCGATAATATATATATACACGCCGATTTAGAACGTCTTCCGATGTTATCCGAAGCCTAATCCCCACCTCTCGGTTTTCGCAATCATTTGGTGATAAATTTCTTTTACTCATGGACTTGTGTACAGTTTTTCGCCATTCTAGTTTAGGTCTTCCCCTTTTCCGTCATCCAGATGACTACCACTTTAGCACTTTCTTGGGTAGTCTTGTTTCTGGTATGCGTTTTACACGCCCGTACCATATCAGTTGTTTCCCTTGTACGTCGTCCAAAATATTCCCTTCAATGCCCATTTGCTGTTTGATTACCTCATTCCTGATTTGATCCCTTCTTTGAAACACCTAAAGATCTCCTCATTTCATCCATTTTCACCGCTTCTAATCATTTTTTATATTTCTCACTTATTCTCCACGTTTCCGTTCCATACAGGAGAACCATTTTAACCATGGTTTCATAGATGTTGAATTTTCTTCTTTTTGTTATTTTTTTACTCCAAAGTATGCTATTAGGACATGCCAGTACCTTTTTCGCTTTTATTATTTTACTCTCTGTTTGAATCAGGCATGAAAAAATGCTGAAATGTGTCTCAAAACGATGTAAAATCATTTTTCCTCACGATAACGCGAGGTTCCCTGTTACTTATGACGTCAAATAAACGCTTTACGATCTTGAACAGGAAGTTGTTCCCCACCCAGTGTATTCTTCAGATATCGTACCATTTGATTACTATATTTTCCATTCGATGCGGCACAACTTCACCGATGCAATTTTCGAAATGAAACAAATACTACAAAATTGTGATAACTTTATCACATCAAAAAATGAGATATTCTCTCGCTATTACATCCTGAATGAAGCCTTATGCTGTCCGAAAGATAGTAAATGTTAAAAGTATTATGCTGGCAAAAGATATTTAATGTCAAATATTTTGATTAAACCGATTGTATCATTTCTTTTGCATTAATAAAAGATTTGATGAAAAACAACAGAAACCGCTGTTAGTTATAATATTATTACGCGCACCTAAATATCATTTTTAATGTAAGACTACATTTTTGGAAACATATTTTTACGAATTAATTGATATTTGATAGCTTGTATCTGCACACAATCATATATCTGTAGTTGCAGGTAAATGGATAATTGATTCCAGTTATAATCCAGATATATTCCAGATATAACATTCAGAAATCTATATAACTGTAAAACCATTTAATAATTAATACGATCATATAACATTTTAGTAACATATTATGTTTGTGTTATATAACTACAATTTCATATTTATGTTTATGTTATATAAATACAACTTCATATTTCGCCGAATATCCGAAACGCCACGACATGCCGCAATTATTCCCTTCCTCTTCTAGACTGTCGCTCGACGATCAAAAGAATCTTCTGTCATATGAGAATGGAAAATCACAACATAAATGTTGTTTACAACATCTATCTTATATTATTTGTTATATTCCATTATGTTGCGACAATATAACTGTTACATATTTGTACTTGTTAGAAAAGTAGTACAAACATTATATTTATTATATATTCTGTCAAATAAATACCAGGAATTGTTCAATAAAACACAACATATTGGTTTAATCATCCAAATTTATTTTGCCGCCTTCAACATGGGCCCCGCTTGATATACTTATGCCAACAAATAATCCAATTGTTGAAACACTTCTTATAAGCACTTTTTGATATGGCCCGTAGCTCCTTCTGCAAATTGTTTTATGGCTTCAATGGCCTCAAAACGTCTTCCACAAAGTGGTAATTTGAGTTTGGGGAACAGGAAAAAGTCGCACAGTGCCATATCTGACAAATATGGTACTTGGTCGATGATATTCGTTAAATTTTTGGTCAAAAATTCGTGTACAAGGGTCGATGTGTGGGACGGCACATTGTTATGGTGCGAAATCCAAAAGTTTGTGTTCTTCCACAAATCTGGCCTTTTCCGGCGAACATTCTCAAACGCCTCATAACGCCCAGATAATATTGTTTGTTGATTGTTTGCCCCTCCGGAAAGAATTCCGAGTGGACAACATCACGATAGTTAAAGAAAACAGTCAACATGACTTTGATTTTCTTTCTTTGAATGCTTCCTTCTTTGAATGCTTTGTACCACTCGTATGTTCGTTTTCGATAAAGCTGATTCACCTAGGTCTTCTCCAACATTTTCAACGACTGAGCACAAGAAATTTCGTTCGCAACATAAAATTTGAGACAAACTCTATGTTCGATATTTTTATCCACTTAAAAAATCGCAAAATAAACTTGAAGTCGTCTAACAAAACCAATAGCTGTAAACAAACTGGTTGACAGATAGCGCCGAAACTCTACGTGAAAATTAGATATTGGGAGTGTGAATAAGTTCTCGCCGTTTTTTGTGAAAATAAATCCTTTATTTAAAAAAAATAATAAAAAAACAAGTCAATTAAAGTATTGCCCATCGCTGGAGACTACTTTTTCTCATCTTTCTGGCAGCATTAGAATTCCACGTCGAAAAAACGACACTTCTTTTGCGGCTATCCACGAATCGATCCATTTTTTCGTTTCTTCATGCAAAGTGAAGTGCTGCTCAGCCAAGCCATTAGTCATCGATCGAAATATATAGTAATCAGAAGGCGCAATGTCTGGAGAGTACAGCGGGTGGGATAGGACTTCCCATTTCAGCGTTTCAAGGTATGTTTTGTCCGGTGACGCGACCGATCGTTATCATGCAGCAAAATCACCTTATCGTTTGCTCATATTGCGGCCGTTCTTCTTTCAATGCTCGGCTCAAACGCATCAATTGTCGTTGATAGAGATCTCCTGTGATGGTTTGATTGAGTTGGAGCAGCTCGTAATACACTACCTCCAGCTGATCCCACCAAATGCACAGCATGAGCTTGGAACCGTGGATATTCCGCTTTGGCGTTGATGCTACTGCTTCGCCGGGCTTAACCCACGATTTTTTACGCTTGGGATTACTGTAGTATATCCACTTTTCATCACCAGTCACAATACGATGTATGAAACCTTTCCTTTTTTGTCGTTGAAGCAGCTGTTCACACGTGACAAGACGCCGTTCGACGTCTCTCGGCTTCAGTTCGTACGGCACCCAAGATCTTTCCTTTTGTATCATTCCTAATGCTGTCAGACGTTTCAAAACTGTTGTTCGATCAACTCCTAATGATTTTGCAACATCGGATTGCGTCTGACATGGATCTTCAGCAAGTAATGTTTCCAATTCTTCGTCTTGAAACTTTTTTGGTACACCACTGCGTTCTCTATCTTGAACATCAAAATCCCCATTTTTAAATCGGTTAAACCAATCTCTGCATGTTCTTTCCGACAGAGCATGATCACTATAGGTTTCTACAAGATTTCTGTGTGCTTCAGCTGCAGATTTCTTCTGAATAAAATAGTGCAGTAAAATTCCCCGCAAAAACGGTTTATTTGGCACGAAATTTGACATGTTTTACGCTACAAAAAGAAAATGTTCTTTATAGGTTAATGGAAAGAAGCACTGATTTTAAACATAGGTTATAGAACTTCAATATAGATGCGTCATCATCTTGAATTATACACAGAAAATTTTTATACCGCCATCTGATGGTGAAACGGCAAAAACTTATTCACACTCCCAATACATTGGTACCAAATTGATACCATTTGCTTACAGCAAAAAATTTGTTTTCATACCTTTTATGCGGGTTTTTGTAATGAACAATTCCCGATATTTATTTGACAGAATGTATAACATGTTATATTTAAATGATATTGCTGTTTTTTTATTCTATCGTATCTTATTTATAGTATAAAATAAGATAACAGATTTAAAACACAAATGCATACATATAAAAACCGATTACGTTATTTCTTCTTCTTTTTTTAGTATCACACCTGTGTCCAGGCGTAAGCGACCTCTCTCATATGCCTGTGGTGCGCACGTTGACTATACACAAAGCATATGGGACTTATAGTTTAACGCCAATTCCAAACGGCAAAGTTTTTAAAGAAGTTATACTAGGCAAGGATACTCTCGGTGGTTTGCTATTGCCTTCCGAGAGGAGATGCGAGCGTAAATATTTTGGCTTCTGCGGAATCGAACCCGGGACCGCTGGCATAGTACCAGTGCGCTACCTGCTATGCCACGCTCTCTACGTTATTTCAGTATAAATAAAATATAACAATCGTTATATTATGTTACTTCTACATTATACATTATATATCATTTATATTCTGTTTGCTAGGCAAAGAAACATGAATACTGTAGATCAAATTAAACCTATCACAGATAAAAGTAATGTGATTTTTACTTACGACGGACGTCAAGTTCTGTACAAGTATATTTTCAACTTTAGCTTCATGAATGCTCACTATATGTACGTGATGGCCTCTACGAAGAAGTTCTTTTAACAAAGGCATTATCCATACATGGTGACTAGTTGATATAAGAGGCTGCACTATTAATATCGACAGCGGATTTAATGCCGTTGCGAATCCAACTAAGATATAATACACTAATACAGAGTGTCTTAACATTGTTAGGCCAAAGCAACGCAACATCGGTGAATTCACTATTTCACCGATCTTTTAGCCTCCGATTTTTAATGGCCACTACATTACTAGTCGCTCCATTCTTTCTATCTATCATGATCCAATCACGAGTGTGAATTGATTCATTATGTTACATGAATACGTTTATCTTATTAATTTTGTCGACTAATGTGCCGTTCAATGTTATATTATTTAAAAGTTTTAAATTTGAAATAGTATAAAATATACATTATTAAAGATAACCATATGTAAAATATATGTAATTATTACTGCTTCATGTGATATTACTTTATCTTATCCGCATTGCTACTGAATATGAATGAAGATATTTGCGTATCATGACAGTCAACGCTAAGCAGCTATAAGATAAGCCCACATTTAACTGAAATATGCGGAAAATTCAACGGTCTGTAATTAGCAGATTATATGGTTGCGCATGGTGCTCGTGATTTCGCGTTCGGATTGTTGTCTGCAAAATAAGGCGACACTCGCTTTAAGAAAGGTGAACTCTTTTAATTAAACACACATTTCTCCTCAGAAATTAGTGATTACAGTCAAATTTCGTCACACGTCGTGACCGCACGAAGACCCGCAGTATATCTGTTGTTTCCTCTCGTTGCCTTCAGAGACCAATCTTCTTTCTTCTGTTGTTTTCAGGTGCGTAAACATAATCGACTTGATATCACAATCCGCCAAATATCCAAAATGTCACGACGTGCAGCAATACTATTTCTTTCCTCTTCCACATCACCGCTTGACGAACGAAAGAATCTTTTGTCACATCACTGCCTTTCCCGAGCTGCTATGAGAGGTTATCGGGCTGTGAATAGGTTTTCAAAATTCAACTATAACTCAGAAAACAAAATAAAATAGCAGGCTTACTGCATATTACTTAGATAAAATTACATACTATCGGGCTTATGATCGGCCATCGTAATCTAATATAATATCTCATAATATAAAGCTAACTTATGAACGAATAGATGATTTTGTTTTTGTGTTTAGAATTGAAACCGATCATGTAACACAATATAAAATATCACTTAATTTCTTAAGCAATTCGTAAAGGCCTCCCCAATTTTTCAGTAATTTAAGGGCTTTGCCCTTTCTTTTTTGAAGATGATACAATCAGATATTTTTCGTCCCACCTTAAAAAAAATTATAATTTTTTCGTCATATCGAATCTTGAGCCGATTTGACATGAACATTTTAAATGATCTCTCATCTTCTTGGAACCTAATAAGACGAGAATTCTACAAATTTATCTCATGTTACAAGACATCATAATTCTCGACTACAATTTGGTCGGAAAATATATCCTGAAAATCACGAAAAAATCTGATAAAAATATTCTTTTACAAAACATTTAACATTGCATTAACTCTTATGAATTCTGCCCAACAAATTCCCTCAAATTTCCGGGAACATTCTCTGAATTACTTGACATATCGCATATATAACGATACTGAGTGTCTTTCCCGGTCTCCTTTCCAGGTCGCAGAAGATTAAAGAATTATTTTATTATTTATTTTAAATTGACTCTGTAAGGAAATCAACTCCTAGTATACATGATACAGTCGTCTTCGATTTTCACTGCATAAATTGGCATTTCTATTTCATATTCCCCTAATATGATTCTAACTTTCATTTGAAATTCAAAATTTCTTTCCCTCTGGGTTAACTGAACCGAAAACGCCAATCGAAAACCGACTTTCTAATCTATTCATTAATCCTATGCTGACGATCGACACATCTGAGTCCGTATAAATTTTAAATACCTACGTAATTCGGTTTAAACTTTCACAGAAAAACATACTCTCGTTTCCATAAATTCTTCCATTTTGCAATATTGAAGTGTTTTTCTTCATAATCAAATCACACCTTCCTTTCTTCTCTCCCCCTCTTCCTTCCTCCATCTTCTTTAACTTTTCCTTCATTTCTTCCCTTTCTTCTCTCCATCTTTCTTTTCTCTTTTCCATGCTGTCTTTTTTCTCCTTATTTCTCTTTCTAACCCCTCCATCATTTTCCCCCCAGAACCTCTTTCATCATCTTCATTCCCTCCATTACTTCTTTTTTCACCTCCTGCTTAATTAAATCCTTTAATTCCTCATATTTCTTTCCCTATTATCTCTCCTCTTCTTCCCTCTCTTTCGTGGGTGATCTTCGTATCTTTCTGCTCTTCCTAAATATGTCCACCTTTTTTTGCTCCTCTGCCCTTCCTCTCTCCACTTTCTCTCTATTCCTCTTCAAAACCTCCTCTCCCACTTTAATTTCTCTCCCTCCCCCTCCTATCCTTCCACTCGCCATCATCCTTTTTAACTCCTCTTTTCCCCCTCTTTGTCTTGACCTTTTACTTCCCGACTCGGTAACTCTATACCCCTAGAACCTCTATTTTTAACCCACTATTTCCTGACCCACTATGTCAATCCTTTATCTTATTCTGTTTTTCAGTCTAAGTTGTCTACCCTGTCTCTCTTTTCAAACTCTCCCGTCTGCGTCACTACCACTCTCTTTTCTGTCCTAACTTCTGTCTGTCCTAACCACTTTCTGTCCTACTGACTTCATTTCTCTCCAGGCCCTTAAACCCTCTCTCCTTCTCCTTCCCTCTCTTTCTCTGCCCTTCTCACCGCCCTCACTTCCCCTCGCTTCTCCCTCACCCTCTTCCATCTCAATCTCCCACAGCTTTCGCTCACTTTCACCTAATCTCCACTCACACGTCTTCCCCTACCACAACTGGAAACGGAATTCAATTCGCGAAAATATAATTGTATGTATTAAAAATGCTTGCAGAGATATTGATGCACAAACATTATTACTGTGTCAGAAATCGTTTAAAAACCGAATCAATAAATGCATTGAAGTTGAAAACCATAACTTTGAACATTTAATGACATAATTTCATTTTGTGAAATTATTTCATTTTTTCTTAAAAAGAAATTTTTGATAAAATTAAACTGAACTAATTCTGTGCGTGTGAAAGTTTGTGCATGCATTCATTGTTGTCTAAATATTTTGCTAAAATGTAACGATTTCAGTAACGTTATGCGTTAGATCGCACTTCGAACACTTGTACCTTTTAATTTATGCACTATTCGAAAAAAATGTTCAAAGAAAAAGTTATTTTTTTCCGTAGAAACAAGCTCCTTGGTCGTGAGAAACAAGGGGACTTACTCGAAACAAGCATTCCAATCATGAGAGAGAAGGGGACTCACGATAAACAAGCACTTCAATCGTGAGAGATAAGTAGATTCACGTTAAACAAGCACCATAATCATAAGAGACAAGGGAACTCTTGTACAAGACCTCATTTTTACTGATTGCAGCGCCACCTACAATGATTAAAAAAAATTTTTCAGATAAAAGTTATCTCGTTTTTAGCGCAGAATCATAATATTAAATAAAAATTAGAAGTTTCCATTGCAGTGCCCAGGGAGGCCGAACACGAAATATTGCTCGGATTCGACGGTACGGATGGAGAAATGGCAACATCAAAGAGACGATTGATGAAATAAAAGTGGTTTATTTCAATACTTAGTCGTACTTATTTCCGCATTAGGTTAGGATCTCATCCTTGACATGCTCCGGGTCGGTTCGCAATAGCGCGAGATGTTCGCGATGCAAAGTACGCGACGGTGCGGATTAATAAAATCGGAGCCGGCCCGAAAGGCAGTACTAATCTTTTATAGTTTCCGAATTGTCTCTATAGAAGGAATGACTTGGTAACAATCAGACGCACGTCTACCGCTGTTAACGGGATTTATGTTTCGTTTATTTTCGTGTCGTGTAACGGTTGGTTTTGACCGTCCAGTGAATTCGCTACGTAGTTTTCGACATTCTTCTTGCGTATGCCCGTTACATTTGCAGTGCAAACAGTATATATCAGTTGTATTTACAGACGAGAAGCATTCCAGTTTCGGAAATGCAAATCGGTTTGCGTATCGGCTAGAACGGTAATCTTGTCCGCGATGGCCGGTTTTTGCGCATTTCTGACATTTAATTACAGGGAGATTTCGCGAGAAATTCGTCGTTAGATCTTGATTGTAGCGAATGGGCTCTCGGTAGTAATTATTATTTAACCCTTTGACTTTCTCTTCTATGGCCGTAGCGATCACGTCAACTAGCGTAGCGGGAGCTCACGATCTGACAATCGTTTGTAGTTTATCGTGTAGCTTCAATTGGAAATTTATGAGGGCTTGGGATTTCAAGAAATTATGGACGCAGGGTTTCTGCGTGAAAGTATAATGAGTTCCTTTTGTACCTGCCTTAAATAATTCGGTGGTTAGACATTCGACTCTGTTCCTGAAAATATACACAATCTTACCGGGCTTCTGCTTTAAGAAATTGAATTCTCTCTGCCTCAGTCGTGATAGATTTTCTCTTCACGTAGCAATTTTCTAATATTGTTTTGAGGTCTAAGAAAGTAGTGACTCGCGATCCTTGAGTTCAGTTAACGCGGATCCTTTTATTTTTGTCCAAAGTATGACTCTTATCAATGCGGGCTCACCTTCTAAGTTTATTAATTCAAACACGTACTCGCAAGCCATTAAAAATTCTGTCAATTTTCCTTCACTAGAGTCATCAAATATAGGGATTTGATCTTGTGCTTCTCGGAGCTATCTGGCTCATTCCTCGAAATTAATCGGGTACAGAGGATCTTTAGGCAAATTTTCCGTATAGATTCGAGTAAGTCGTTCAGGCTCTGCGAAAGTACAAAGGCGGTCTGATAAGTAGTAGGATTTGAAATGAAAACGCAATATTTCGGAAAAATTTCGATTTATTTTTCAACATAGTCCCTTTTCACTTTTATATACTTCTTCCAACGGTGCTGTAACTTTGTAATGTCCTCTAAAAAGTATGATTGTTCAAACTCTGCAAAATAAGCATCTACCTCAGTGATGACCTCCGAATTCGACGTGAATTTCTTCCCTGCGAGCCATTTTTTTATGTTGGGAAATAGGAAAAAGTCGCTGGGGACCAAATCTGGAGAATACGGCGAATGGGTGAGCAGTTCGTATCTCGCTTCGACCAGTTTAGCTGTAGCAATTGCGGATGAATGTGCTGGTGCATTGTCGTGATGGAACAGGACTTTCTTCTTTGCAAGATGAGACCGTTTTTTTTTTCAGTTCCACGTCGAATCGTTCCAGCAAATCATTGTAATATTGCCTCGTGATAGATCTTCCTTTGTCCAAATAATCGATGAGGATTACACCGCGGGAATCCCAGAATACCGTAGCCATACTTTTCCGGCCGATGGGGCCGTTTTGGCCTTCTTCGGAGCTCTTTCGCCAGGTAAAGTCCACTGTTTAGACTGCTACTTGGTGTATAGTGATGGACCCACGTTTCATCTACAGTCACAAAACGACGCAGAAACTTCGCCTGATTACGCTGAAACAGCTCCAAACATATCTTCGAAGTGACTACCCGATTTCGTTTTTAGTGCATGGTGAGCAACCGCGACACCCATCGCGCCGATAACTTTCTCATGTGCAATATATCATGTACGATATGTCCTGTACGTTATTTCGAGATCTTTATCATGTCTGCTATCTCACGCACCTTCATCCGACAGTCAACCAGTATGATATCGTGCACTTTTTGGACAAAATCATCAATAGTAACCTTTTTTGGCCGCCCGGGACGGTCATCATCAAAGACGGATGTGCGACCACGACGAAACTCGGCGTACCATCTAAAAACAGTGCTTCTCGAAGAAGCAACACCCCCGTAAACGGCTTTCAATTTTTCTTGGACTTCATCACACGTTTTCCCATCAAAATAAGCGAATCACATTCCAAGAAAGCGAATCACCGAACAATATTGCTCTTTTTCCATATTGACGACAATAGCTGAGGCATTCACTTTAATCGGCTGCCAGCAAAAAATTAATGGACAGACAAGACTGAAATTTTGACAGACATTGTTTGAAAGATGGGACTATATGATGGTAAAACCGGTTTCGCTGCAGTGGCGCCACCATGCGTAAATCCTACTTCTTATCAAACCGCCCTCGTATTTCGCACTTGACGCGAGGCGCTCCTTATGGCGTTAGTGAGACGGATTTGATTAACATGTACAGTTGCTCAGATGTCTTTTAATCATGCTAGTAATTGATCGTTATCGTAGGGCCGACACCCCTACATCCGCAAAACTAAATATGCTGAGAAGCCTCAATCAAAGCTTCGGAATAGGACGGAACACTGGCAACGACTTAGGCAAAAGAATATGGTCTTTGAGTTTAGTACCTGGAATGTAAGAACTCTATACAAAACAGGAGATTTATTATCCGTTATCTCACAAATTGGGAAATACAAGTTACCAGTCGTAGCTGTGCAAGAAACCAGACGGCATGGTAATGGAATTAATGATGTGAAAGGACACAGTGTGTTATATAGTGGAAAAAAGAAAGGCACACATGAAAGTGGAGTAGCATTTATTGCAAACCAAACATTCAAGAATAACATAATAGATCAAGCCATAAATGACAGAATATGCACAATGCAAATCAGAATGAAATTTTACAACATAACTATGATAAATATATATGCACCAACTGAAGATAAAAAACCCAATATAAAAGATGAGTTTTATAACAAATTGGAAACAATGCTGGACGATGTACCATCCAATGATGTTAAAATAGTTTTAGGTGACTATAATGCCCAAATTGGGAAGGAGAAGGAATTCAGAAAGATTGTAAGGAGGAACAGTTTACATGATGTATCTAACGATAATGGTAAAAGAATGATAGATTTTGCTGAAAGTGGGAATCTGATCGTTAGTTCAACTCAATTTGCACGAAAAGACATACACAAGCAAACGTGGAGGTCACCGGATGGAAAAACTACGATTCAAATAGATCACATATTAATAGATAAAAGAAGAGCCTCATGAATTCAAAAGATAAGATCATATAGGGGCGCTGATGGAGATACAAACCACTATTTGGTCAAAGCAAAGTATATATGTAGAGCTAATAGAACGATAAAACAGAATCTAACACAACGCCAAAAAAAGATAAATGTATCAGTGTTAAAAGAACCAATAACTGAGACTAAATATCAAGAGATCATTATGAGAGAGATAGAGAAGAGAAGAGAGAGACAGGAATCAGGGATGGAGGTTTGTTGCGAAGAAATAAAAGAAATCATAAAAGTAGCAACACATATATTCACTTATATATTACGGAAAAAAAGAAGAAACTATAGGATATGAAGGAAGGCCAACTAAAAATAATTGGTACGACGATGAATGTGCTGTAGCAATAGCAGAAAGGAATAAAGCACGCACAATCTATTTGAGAAGACCAACTAGAACAAAATATAAAGAATACCAAGAAAAGCGCAGGAAAGCTAATTACACATGTAGACGAAAGAAGAGAGCGGTATGGAATAAGCAAGTTGAGGAAATGGAAAAAAACTTCAAAGAAAATAATCTGAAACAAGTCTATAAAGAAGTTAAATACATTAGGAAAGGATACGCCCCTAAAACAAATTTAATCAGGAATGGAGAAAAAATTATTGGTTCATCAGAAGGAATTCTAAACACATGGAAGGAACATTTCCAACAATTACTTTATTTCAAAGTCAATAGCACAATAAATGAAAGAAATAGGATAGAGAGGGAGGAAGAAGAGGAAGAGGAATTGGAGCCACCTGACAGACTGGATGTATCTCTAGCAATAAAGGCACAAAAAAATAATAAGTCTCCTGGAATAGACAACATACCAACAGAACTTATCAAATCAGGTGGAACAGCTATAGAGAATATGATATATAACCTAGTGAAACAGATCTGGCAAAGTGAGAAGATGCCGGAAGAATGGAGTGTTGGAATTATCTGTCCAATATACAAAAAGGGGGATTGGTTAGATTGTAAGAATTACAAAGGCATGACCCTTCTTTGCACAGTATATAAAATATTCACTTATATATTACGGAAAAAATTGGAGAAATACTATGAGAATATCATAGGAGAATACCACTCAGGATTCCGAGCAGGAAGATCAACAATAGATTCAATATATACAGTGAAGAGCATAGTAGAGAAATTTTGGGAATATGACATCAATCTTTACCACATATTCATTGATTTTCGCACAGCATATGATAGTATCGACAGAGATAGACTGTATACAATCTTGGCTGAACAAGGGATGCACCCAAAGCTGATAAGGTTAATTAAAATGACTATGACTAATTCCACGGCAAAAGTTAAGATCTGTAGCGGCATTACAGACGTATTCGAGGTTGATACAGGTCTGAAACAAGGCGACGGCCTGGCGCCAATGCTCTTTAATATGGTTTTACACTGGATGGTTAAACAAACCAGTATAGACAATAATAACACATTATTGTATAAAAGTGCACAGATAGTGGGATATGCGGACGATTTGGATATCATGGGAAGGAACCTGACCTGGTGGATGAAATATATAGGGAGGTGGAATTGGGAGCCACCAAGGTGGGTTTACAAATTAACAAACAGAAAACTAATTGGATGATACAATTTAGAAATAAACAGAGAATCACAGCTCAACCCAATATGGTATTAAACGTATTGGAGGAAGTAGATGAATTTAAGTACTTGGGAACAATTCAGACAAACAACAATGGTGAATTAGTGGACATACAGAGACGTATCAGCAGCAGCAAATAAAACGTACTATGCATTGATAAGAATTATGAAATCGAATAGTGTACGCCAGAATAGTAAACTGAAGATTTATAAAACCATTATTCGAAGTGTGCTACGTTATGCAAGTGAGTTGCGGATAATGTCAAAGAAAGCCGAAAACATACTGGGTATATTCGAACGTAAAATTTTAAGGAAAATCTTTAGCCCAATGCAGGAGAATTCACAATGGAGGATCCAATATAACAGCGAACTCTATAGACAATATAGAAGCGCGGATATAGTAACATACGAGGTCTGTTCAAAAAGTATCGCGAATTTTGAATTTCCGCGGGTTACGTATATTCGATTTTCAATTTTTTTATGGCGTTATGTTGGTACTCATGTCCCTCACTTATGCCGACAAGTTCAGCCATTTTGAATATTCAGTTTATCTTTGACAGCTGTTTTGCTTGGACGTGTTTTGGCTCGTCTTCGATTTTTGCCTATTCCAAAAAATGGATCAAAGAATCTGTATCAAATTTTGTGTGAAAAACAAAATTAAGTGCGCGGACGCATTCCGAATGTTGACTGTGGCATATGGTGAAGCTACCTTGGACCGAAGCAACGTTTATCGGTGGTACAAAATGTTCTCAGAGGCCCGAGAAGATGTGAACGACGAAGAGCGTGCCGGACGCCCGAGCACGTCAACAACAGACGAAAACATTGATGAAGTAAAGAAAATAATATTGGCCAATCGTCGAACCACCGTTAGAGAAGTTGCTGAGGATCTAAACATATCGATTGGCTAGTGCCATTCGATTTCTACTCTGATGCCGATCTCTGATGCCGCAGCCACCGTATTCCCCAGACCTGGCCCCCTGTGACTTTTTCTTGTTCCCGAAACTGAAGAGGCACATGAAAGGACGACGCTACGCTACGATTGAGGAGATAAAGACGGCATCGAAGGAGGAGCTGAACAAGATCACAAAAAATGATTTTTTGAAGTGCTTCGAGGATTGGAAAAAACGTTGGCACAAGTGTATAATATCTGATGCGGATTACTTTGAAGGAGACAAAATAGATATTCATGAATAAATAAATAATTTTTGAAAAAACACAAAATTCGCGATACTTTTTGAACAGACCTCGTATATAAAGCTGAGAAGATTGGAATGGGCTGGGCACGTATATAGAATGGAGGATTATAGAATAGATAAGAGAATAATGGAGGGAAAAATATATGGCAACCGTCCAGTTGGCAGACCCAAAGATCGATGGCTGGATGCGGTAACAACTAATTCCAAAACATTGCTGGGTACGACAGCATGGAGGAGAGTGGCTTTGGATAAGGAAGTTTGGAGGAAGAAAATTGGGGAGGCCAGGGCCCGACGTTGGTCTGTTGCGCCATAGTAGTAGTAGTAGTAGTAATTGATCGTTAATACGGAAACACTCTTTCGGGTCCTCATTTGCCCTACTAGGTCATGGTCGAAAGTTATTAATGTTATCCGGCAGAGTCATTCGAGCTAACATGTCGCGTAAGCGCGAAATTTCTTGGTCGACATTACTCGAGTAGAAATTGAATCTAGTAATTGTCTAGTCATGACATAGAAAAGTTGGGTTTTACATCGCTACTAAATAGTAGTATTAGTTAGCCATTAGCTCGGAATATAACGTTCACTTCTTTTAATAACTGTACTAGAAAAATTAGCTAATAACTAGACAAGAAGTAGTGCACAGTCATGAGATGAAAAATCTTAAGTAGCCACTAGCCAAAAATATAACGCTCATTTCTCCTAGTGAATGCAACAGAAAAATTAGCTAGTAGTTAGATATAATTTAATAAAATGAAAAAAATATTTTTCTTTTAGTTGATCTCTCTCTCTCTCTCTCTCTCTCTCTCTCTCTCTCTCTCTCTCTCACTTTTTCTCTACATCAGGAGTATTTAATCCTTAAGACAGCTTTCTCATTTTAGAACTTTTGTATCATGAATTTCTTCTAATGGCTGAATAGTTTTTTTTAATTAGAGATTTGACTTATTTTCTTTCTCTCTCGAAAAGATGATCCAATGTAGTTTAGTTTTTGAAAGTCATTTTGGCTTACGTATTATATCCCATTCTATTAGAAAAATTTCATTTTGCCCTGATAAATTTGAACTTAAGACCTCTGGCTCTTGAGTTGCCAATCTTTATGTATTATATCACTGTCACAGTCACTAGTGAACGTTTTACGTTGACTACTATATTGACTACATATGCTTTATTCGGCGTAGTTCTATCTTATGGTTAGACGAAAAAATTACACAATAACGAGATAAAAAATTGGTAAATCCTTAGTGAAAATTGAATATCAAATTTCGTCTAGTAACTGTCTAGTAGCAACATAATTTTAATTTCGATGTGCTGATTAATATAATTCTGCTTGCGGTGAAATATCTAAACTGTATATTTTAGAAAAGACAGCGTCATATCTATTAGCATATTTTCGATCTAATGACTAAATAGCAGCTATATAGTTAAGAATATTTAAAGACTGATTAAAATATTTAACCAGTCGTGAACTAGTGATTGACTAGAAAATTTATCTAGACATTACTATCAGTATTATAACAACCAACGCAAAATGATCGTTATAGATTTATTATCTCACATATCCTTGAAGTCTAATCTACAACTTGAACAGAAATGAATCTCAACAATCTAATTTCAACACTAGTAGCTAGATAGTAATCACTAGACAAATTTTCTAACTACTTGCTAGCTCGTGACTGAGTAAACATTTTTAATAAGTCTTTTGTTATGTAACTAGTCTAGTCAACTGGAAACAGCAACTCCAGCTCCAGCTTTCTTGAAACTTCAACTCCTTGAAAAGAGAAAGAAATTCTATACATTCATGTAGATGCGCAGAAGAGCCATATGAAAAACCTGTGGCCTAAAACCAAAGGTGGTCCTATGCCTATACAAAACAATACTACTACCAAGATTAACTTATGCTGTTGTAGTATGGTGGCTAACAGTAGAGAAGGTGGATATAAGAAACTTGCTGAAAAGCTTACAAGGTGGTTACCTGAGGGCTGCGGTGGGGGCCATAAGAACCACACCAACAGAGGCGCTGGAGGTAGCCCTCTGCATACATCTACTGGACTTGACCATATACGGAGCAGCAACCAATACAGCATATAGACTGAAATGTCAAAGTGAATAGAGGAATACCAGATTGAGACATACTAGGCTCAAGTTTATATTCGCATCCATTCATAACCAAGCAGAACAGGACCTACA